TACCTTCATCATGCTCTATTGAGTTTGATGGAAATACTTTTTATTTAATCTTATTTCATGGCGTAGAAACAAAATTCAAATGTATAATGCTTTTTGTAACTTGAGCCAGCTTGGGATTGAACAAAAACCGTGTGATGTACAATATTTGTTGAATTGAATTTCAATCCTTCACAAAATATTTTTGCCCCTTTTTAATTGGGTATTACTTCCAGATTAATGCCATTAATCGTTAATATTTTTCTTGAGTTTCTTGCCACACAACTAATTTAAATTTTGCTACAGCAGATATCACTGATCTCACTTACACCAGAACTGTGCGTTTCAAGTTTTATAAATAATAATCAAGAAAGATAAAGCAATCAAGCTGCTGGAAAATAATTCCATGAAAAACTAAAGCTAGATAAGTACTATTCTGATCATTTCCATATTGATTTCAATTTAAGAGCCACCGATAGGCAGGCAGCTGTTTCAGCCTGTTGAGTATCGTCAGTACATTCTCCATTGAAGACAAAATGTGATATGAAATCATCTTGAATTTAGACAGGTTGGAGCCTGGCTCCCTTACCATTTGAACTGATGTTTGCCAGAAGGACAAACGGGTCATGACTGATGGTGGGTGTTGATGGTATGGCGGCATGAATGTCCTCAGACATCAGTACCGCCCTTCACGGTGTACCCCTGCCTGGCTNACCCACCTGAGGTGTTGAGAAAAATCTCTATACACTGAGTTGTAGGATTTAAACTCAACATAAGAGTCTAGCCAAATCAAAATTTTCATTTAAGAACAACAAAATAATAATCATAATAACTATATATCGTGAGTCGGGCACACTACCACCGCAGCCAATTCCACACAATGTTTTGGTAAATCATTATTCTTTTATCATTATTGGAATTAAATTCATTCAGGTTAGTTAACGTTTATAGTATAACGTTGAAATGAAAAGCCGAAAGCTCTTCTGAAAAATCTAATCTCTTCTGAAAAAATCCCTTTCAAATCTGAAGAGAATTCCTATAGCTGGAAATGAATCAACTAACCGTATGAATATAATGGATATTTCAACGAACTGACAACGTAACAAGCGAAGTCGTAATTTTATGATAGCAAGGAGGGCTAAGTTTTGTTTATTTATCCAAGATGGTGCTGATGGGGATATAAAGATAAGTGTCGTCACCCAAAACTACGAAGGACACAATGGATGAGTGGATTCAAACTGTCCCTAACAAATCCAAATATTTGAGAAACGGTTTACTCCACGGAATAATAACACAATTGAATTATGTCCAAATTAAATTCAAATCGACCTGAGAGGAAATAAATTGAGACATTGAATATTCAACTAATTTGTCGTTTATAATTGTGAAAATAATAGAAAGTAACAAGAGGGCTTATAATGCCAAGAAAGTATAGTCAAAACGAGTATCAGGAAAACTTTTACAATTATGATTCTACGGTTTGCATCAAATAGAAATAAAGGCATTCGATATTCTTCCAGACCCCTTTCAAAATTCGTTTTTCATATATTGCTCTAGTCCCCAATTCCAATGTGTTATGATTCCATCAGGGAAAAATACTGGTGAGACCATTGAATACAGAGCGGAAGGAAATAGTCCTGTCCCCTAGTAACTTCTGAAGAAGACCAAATATTGGAGTCTCATATAAGTTTACCCAAATATGTGTCATTTTCAATACGTTTTGATGAGAAAGACAGTAGTGTCGCATCACTCGTCTTTGAGAGTACGGACCCATTTTTTTAATAAGAAGGGGAGTTTTGTTATACTTCGTTCAATAGGTATTTCAGTTCTCTATTCATAATAATTTTTTTTGGGTCGGGTCAACCGTTGAGTGGTTAGTACTTTTATATTCGTTTTGAAGCTCTTCAAACAAAAGACAAATATCATAGTTTCAAAAAAACGGTATTCAAAACTTATTTTAGTCCATTCCAATGAATGTTCAAAATGTTCCTCATTCACATCATTCACATGATGAAGTTTGTTTAGAAAATTCATATCACACTCAAGAATTTCTGGAGTAATTTCGTTTGGAGCACTTTTGAGCTGTGGATAGTAATCGTCAGTAGTGAAACTATAAAACTATATGTGAGAAGGAACGGACATTCGAAAACAATAGATCATTCAATACACAATTTAATTTCAACGAGTTTTGTACATCAAGAACAGAAATAAAAAGCGTTATCAATAATGATCGCAATAAATTTGTTAATGACGCTGAAGATAATAGTTCTCAAGAAATCTCCATTTCTGAAACTTCCTCAGGAATTAAAATGGTAACAGTATTATACCGGGTGGAATGAAAAATAAAAATGGGGAGGTATCTTATACAAAGCTGCAGGATATTGGTAATGCTTTTAGCTTTCATTTCGCTTTTGTATAGATTACATCAAATACCGAGCCCTGTAACAAACTAGAAGTGTAAACTAGAAGGTGTCTTTTCCCGACTCAAAAAATGAACTGCTTTTAAGGTCTGATCAGATTCCCAGCTTTTTGATTGAGGATTGCATTTCTGTTTTACTTCAACCTTTGAAACATACATTTAACCTTATTCTAATAAACAGTACATTTCCCAATGATTGGAAGATAACTCATATTATTCTGAAGAAAGCGACACAAGAATCATATTTGAGATTATTTCATACGAATGTATTTATAATTCAACAAAAACATGATATCTGATGGACACCATGCTTTTTTAGATAGGAAATCTTGTATAACGAACATTTCTTGCCTATGCCAGTATGTTTCCGAAGTATTTGAAGAAAGGTGTCAGGTGGATGTGATATTCATTTATTTTTGAGTTTGAACAAATTGACATGTTTTTATTCCCTCTGTGAAAAATTAGTGAAGATGTTTGAGCCATATTTCTTACTGATTTTTTGAGTATATAACCTCATAATCTGAGATATATAAAGTTAAATCAATAAAGAATCTGCTGAAGTGTAGTAAAGAGCAAACTGAAAAGGTACTGTGTGATATAAACCACTGAAGAGTCCAATTAACGTCTAGGTTATAAAAACAACTATCAATCAAATACTTTTTCAGATTTCGGGTAAATTCATTAATTTTATTGAGCTCCTTAATTTCTTTTGGTAACTTATTGAAGATATACATGAGGTGAATTAGAAGTAACCTCATATTTACAATACAATACAATGTGGAAGTTATATTTTTGACCAGTATTCCTACTATGTATGATTTCATTGGTGATAAACTTATGTTTGTTTTCAAAGACAAAAATTGACAACTCGAATATATACATGGTGAAAAGAGTTAAAATGTTAAATTGTCTAAATAAACTTCTGCAAGAGGCCCTTTCTGAGGCTTTGGCCTTTATTCTCAAAATATACTTCTGCGCAACGAATACATTTGATATCGAAGTCGAGTTACCCCACATACATATGTCATGTCTCAGTCTGGAGGCTACTTTAGCATGGTATAGTGCTCAGTAGATTGTCTATTGATTTAAATTTGTTAATTTTTCAGATTATGAATGGTTATATACCCAAAAAAAACACAAAAAAGTGTCTTTCAACAATACTTACGTCGTAAATATTTGAGAATAAATAGTATGTTAAATACTGGAAAATCAAACTTGGAATCTTTGTTATTTATCGTTTCTGTAAATGATGTCATAATGGAAAGATTGACTCAAACTTATGTATGCCGATGATCTGAAATTTTTTCAGATTGACGAAACATGTGGATGTTCTTCGGGTTTGATGGCCGTGAGTTTTTGGAATTTCTTGCTGATGTTGTTTTAAAGATTGAATGTTGTCCATCCCTGCATATCCTACAACTGCAACAGCGGCCCCTTCATTTATCGTTCATGTTTTTTATACTCTAATCCCGACTCCATGAACTTATTCATCAATTGAAACACGTACTGATATGGTATGATTTTTTCGGAATGAATTTCATTGAAAATTCCAGCCGTAGCTCTAGCTACAATGGATATTCTCTCTTGTTTTTCGAAAGTTTTCAAATTATTGAATGAACTGAATCGAATACATCAATATACCAAGGCATAAACAAATATATGCTTATACAGAAACACATGGCGACAATTATTTTTTCATAATAACGTCTCACCTTTAAAACTATTATTCCTGAAAGCATATTATTTTCCAATACAATGGCGTACCCACAGTAAACCTTTCTTACGATGATAACATTTTAGGTGATGAAAAATAAAAATATCTTGATGAAACCTGGTTTTCATTGAAAATTGAAACTTTCTATGTTGTTTACCACTTCTATTTTTTAATAACGTTACTGCAGTTTTGTCCTATGACGACACTTTCAAACTTATACATTGAATCTAAAGAAATGAACTTTAAACGTTCAAGCCAGCCTCAGATATACCTACACAGTAGGTTGAATGGACTGACGCCAATCAGAAAACAACTACCCCCCTGGATAATACGACGAAGGGCGTTGGATTATATCCGACAGGCGTCAGTGCAGGAATCTTCACAGAAAATTCCCTGCATATACAATTGGCAATACAACTGAAAGAGTCGACTTTCAATTTTGGAACGGGCACACTTGCAGACCGGTTTCGGGCTCATTAGCCACTCATCAGTGCAAGATAGTGGCCATCATCGACCTAAAGTCAATGATATTCCATAATTGGAAATCGGAATTCTTTCAGAGTATTCCATTCCTCTTTCTAAGTTGGAGCGAAACAACAAAACGTCGCTCCATCTAGTGGACGAGGTACTAACCAACTGCATATCCTGAATTCGCCCAATTCCTCTGACTTTTCTTCATAATGATTTCTTACCACGTAGTAACATCCATCAATTTATATTTTGACAAAATTTAGTTTTCATTAAAACTGCAACTTCAACAACATGTATTTGGTGTTGAATTCCGTTCAAAATGATGTGCCTATCATTAGTATAGTAGTCCCATTGAAAATTCTGAAGTAGGGTGTGCTGGGGATGAGGAGGTTTTGCATCAAATTGAATTCGTAGATGATCTCATTATTTATTTCATTATAGGTGGATGTAGAAGTTTCGGTCACTCCTGCTATGGTGGAATAGGAAAAAGAAATCCAGGATTACTGAATGCGTCTAATAATTTTGAGAAACCTGAATATATCTTACCTTCTGCATGGGGCCCATTTAGATCCAATCAACTTCAAATACGAAATCCGCCAAAAATGGGACAACTTTCTGCAATCATCGCCCAATGGGTGAGTAGCCGAATTTTTTGAAAATTATCTTCAAAATATTTTTTTTTTGAGGACTCAATGTTTCTTATTGTATTTTGGTTGTTCAACTTTTCACAATCTGAAAAATAAACAAAGCTGATTTAATATAGAATCTGCTAAAGTTTAATAAAGGCAAACTGAGAAGTTCACCCCAAAAAGTTACTGCCTGATATGAACATTTAGTTAATACATTTCCGCATTCACAAATTTTGTTCTTCGTTTGCAAATGGTCTGTGCTTATACAATTTTTATTTCAGACAACCCCATAGAAAAAAGTCCATTTGAGATAAGTCTAGTGATCTTGGTTGCCAATAATCTTCCAAATCTCGTCCTATCACTTTGCCCCTAAACATCTGACTGACACACTGTTTCTCTTCTACCGTTTGGTGGATCGATGCCACGTCAAGCTGATACCACAAATTTCGTCTGACACTTGGAGACAGATTATCCAAAATTTCAGACAACTGATTCATAATGAAATTTCTGTGCATGTCTGTATTCAAATTTCTGTATTCTAAAAAAAAATATGGTCCAATTATTTGGTTATGTAATAACCCACACCACACTTTTGTATTGAATGAATATTCGTCACGGCATTCTATTACAAAATTTAATTATTGTTGGACCACCAGCGACAATTTTGGAAGCCAACTATTCCATTCGAAGTGGAAGTTGCTTCGTCGGTCCATAAAATCCTGTAGGGATTTTCTCTCTCACCTTGGAACTAAAATGAAAATCCTTCTCGAATATCGAAATCTCTTTCTTCAAGACTCTTTCTTCAAGAGTGTATATGAACTTATAGCTTAGCTTATAGGGATGGAATTTATTTTCGTAAAAAAATTTTCTGACAGTTTCTCTGCCAACCCCTGTATCTTCAATAATACTCCTAATATTGGTTTTACTGTTTTCAACATCGCTCAAACATTGAGTTGATTGATTTAAATGTTTTCAATATCCTTACAGACTCATTCCTAGAGATGATTCTGAATCATCTTCCGACGTATGCTCCTCAATACGGCGTTTCTTCATCGGAGTTGTAATATCCTGATGTAATATTAACTTTTTGTTTGCATTTTTTCTTTATATCACCATTCTGTTCTCTCTTAGCTTGATTCTCAGTGTTTGCATCTCGCTTAGCTTGTTTTTCCAGGAGAATAGCCTTCACTGGTGTAGCAGTCCAAATTTCTGATTGTTGTTTCCTTACCGTCGTTTTTTTGGTAGACTTTTTGGATACTTTTTTGGAATAGAAGCTATATCTGATACTTCAATGAAACCTGAACATGAAGGTAAAGGTTCAGGTTCTGTTGTGGATGTTGATGGTGTCTGTTCCGCAGTAGCTCTTGATGTTGATAATATTGGTTCTGTGGCTATGCATGTTGACGATACTTGAGGAGATGTAATGTTTAAGTTCTTTTCATGTTCTTCTTGTTCCGTAACTAAAACAAGTTCTCTAAGCTGTTCGGCTGGTGCAAAGTCTTCTTCCGTAAACTTAGTGCGGTTGAAAGGAAATATTCTGGCAGTTCTGAATCCTGATATTCCTTTGTCCATAGTTGCTACCTTTATACAGGACTTTTCATGATGAGCGTTAATTAGCCATTTCTGACAAACTATTCAAAGGATCAACATTGAAATTCCACTGTATGCATAAATCAATATGACCTACACGCCTAAAATATTTCAGACGAAGACGCGTTGTTGCTTCTACTATAAAGTAGCGGCTTCTTTGATTTTTCAAATGGAACACCACGTATATAATATCATATTATGATTCATTATCACTTTGTCAACAAATTCATATACTATTTCCCTATACCTATCTATTACCGTTTAGAAGATATAAAAATCGAGATATCAGCTCCTATTTTTTTTTCTTGGTACGGACTGCATGTCAAAGAAGAACTCCTGAAGAGCCAGCCCCACCGAGTTACTCATGGAGGTAGTAATATATATCCTATTGGACCATCCCTCTCTAACTGTGGAGATAATCGTTTCCTAGGATAAATGATCATTGGAGGGATGTAGGATCCAGATGCACTAACAGCACGTGAGATGGTGTTTGTCTGTCCACGTTCGGCTGAAGTGGCAACACCCACTTGTCTTTGTCCTCTCTTAGCATAAACTTTTCCTGACTTTTTCTGAACAGTAGTTATACCGGACTCGTCCACATTAAAGATCCTGTCGCCTCTAAATTTAAACTTTTTCATAACGTCTTCAAGTTTAAAAAAAAAAATTCCAACAGCTTCAGAAATCCTCTTAGCCAATTTTTGCCGGCTAGTTTCTTGTCTGTGTTGAATTTGTGTTTCAAGTGATTACCTTCTGCAAAATCGAAAGCTATTCGTCTCAACTTCCACGGTATAACTCCATAAAACAAATTTCCCAATTTTACTACGTGATCTGCTAACTCTACCTCATGTTGTTTAGTGAAAACTGGTTTCCTTCCCATGCAGTCAATCACAGCCGGAGCTAGATTTTCAATACCTCTTGACTTCAAATGATCACGTATATAGTTTTGACTCCAGAATATTAAAATTTCTAGCTGCTGCACATATTTTAGCACCTGTAATAATTGCAGCAATAGCATTATTAAGTTGCTCATTTGACCAGGATTGTCGTTAAGTCTATCTTTTGTAGTTTCTGACCATCTGAAATGAAAAGTAAACGTTGACAAAAAGTTTTCATTGAAACAAGTGAGGGGCAATACCGCGCATTTTTACGGGATATTACCCCCTATCGACTTTAATTTGGTTTTCTAACCATAACTTCAATAATTAAATTTCAAATTAAAAACCAAATATAGACGAATATCACTCAAGAATTGACGCAAAAATCTGTAGTTACGAATCTTAGTTAGTTCTACAATTACCACTTACCTTCCTTATTTTAAAACGGCAAAAAATTATAAGGAAAACTAACAACGTAACACTTTCATCTAACACGTGCAACTGAGTGCTTCGAGCGGACAGCAGACCTTGTCTGCATTGTTGCCAGGTCTTTCTAACACTATACATGTGATTACACCTCGTACTACGCGACCGGTTGTTAGTTTTTCGGCTTGAGGATATCACCTCACCGCGCGGTTTTACCCCGCCTTCCCCTAACCAAAATTGAATACTTGTTTCAAAAGCATACTAAAGGAAAATTTTATTTCAATTTGATCAGTACCTACTAATCGAAGTCTCGTATTCATCAAAATTATAAAATTATAAAATCAATGAACTCAGAGTAGCATATGACAAAAGAAAAGAGGCTGTTTTCAACTCATTTTTCAAGCACAAAGTAACTACGTTGTCAAATTTTCATTATATCTAATAATAAAAAATCTTCCATATGTCGCGAACTGTATGTGTGATACTGGTATCAAGTCCCGTATGTTGATAACGGTAAATATTTTTGTTGAAAATTGTTTCTTTCACAAATGAAAGTATTTATGACTTTCAGATAGGCTATTTTTTCAATGAAACCCATATTACATATTTTTGTTGAAATCTCCGATTTTTACCAATGACTATAATGGAAATCACATAACATGTTTAATTTTCATTTTCCATTGTCATGCCGGATACATTTTCATCCATAGTATGAAAAAAGATGACGGGTTCTTTCAAAATTATTTCATACGAGGAAGTTCTTGGAGATGCTCAATTCAAATTTGAAAACAGTTGGATTTATTTCGACTTTTCTCTAATGAAAGACCCTATTATCACACAGTACATCTACGAGAATAATAATTTCCACTTGGGCATTTTTGAAGGAATTTTACATATAACACCAACGTACCAAATATGTTCGGAATTGTATTATGAACTACAGAAATATGAGGGAGAATTCATGGAAAGTAGGACACATTATGTGTGCTTCCATCTTTGACTTCCATGAAATGAGAAATAAAGAAATTATTCCAAAGTCGAAGTGATTGAATTGTTACTTCCGGTTGTCCTCAAAGCAAATATTATGATACTGGTTTGGGTCTCCGCTTTTATTCCATTGGTGGTGTCTTCGTTCCTGTCTTCATTCCCATTCCAGTCTTCCGGAAGGTAAAGGAGAATCAGAGACAGAGACTCTGATTCAACCATTTTCACTAAAAACTTACGGATGAGTTGTATCTCATGATGAGAAAATATCTTACCACAACTTGGTGATCTTTCCTGAAGAACCCGTTCATTGTTTGGCTTGTATGTATGGTTTGTGTGAATTTTTATCAAATCATAAAGTGTAATTTTTGAACCTCTTGCTTGATTTATACATTTATGCCGAACCAAGATAAAGAAAGGTTCAAAATCTCAGGGTTCTTTGAATGGATTCAATGAATCCAATAACATTGTGAACGAAAAAATCGGAAAAGTTTTGTCGCTTGGCACTGGAAGTTGTTTGCACGCATATCGAGATATCAGCTCCTATTTTTTTTTCTTGGTACGGACTGCATGTCAAAGAAGAACTCCTGAAGAGCCAGCCCCACCGAGTTACTCATGGAGGTAGTAATATACAAGTGTTGATATACACAAGAGCTCGACAATTGGTATGAAGTATCAATTTGTTGCCCAACAAATATAGGCGCCACTTCTGAATGCACCACAGAGCTGCTAGTACTTCAAGCTAAGTACTGCTGTACCTACGTTCTCGTTCCAGAAACAACCTGGAGGCATGTGCTACAAGATGACGATCATTGTCCACCACTTGAAATACGAGTATGACTCCTACAATTTCAGTGCCACTATCATTCGACTGTAAATGTCATTCACACTTCCACTTGCGATGATAGAGTGGAACTGCCATTCATCCTCGACTAGTTGGAAAGTAAATTGATCGATGTAGCCATTACTACGTGGTAGAAAATCATAATGAAGAAAAGAGAATTGAAACTTATACATTAATCATCAACATATAAGTTCGAAAATGGCCTTATTGGACGAAACTGTAGTAACGTTAGTTATATATAAAAGTGGTGAAAACATAGAAAGTTTCAATTCTCTTTTCTTCATTAGTTGTAAAGTGGTTTATCGAGCTTCGTCCCATTTCCAATGTATTTTTTTTTTCAAAATAGTACAGTAAGGGTCTACTAGATCAAAAAACTGAAGCACAAAAATCCTGTCAACTAGCAGAATCCCAGAAAAAATCTTTTTTATTTTTGGGTTTTGAGTAATCCACTAGCGCTTGGATTATTTGTCCGTCAGGTTCAAGAATGTAGCCCAAGTATGACATTCATTCTCCGCACCACAAGGTGTAAGTGTTGAAGATGTGCTTCTGCTCATTACCAGTTGATTCGAAGGGTAAACGAGCTAGAAGCAATTTATAGTCCAAAAGAAATCATACAAAACGTATACTTTTCAGTTCCTATATTGAATCCCAGATACTATTGGTCATTTCCGTGTATGGGCACTTGCCAGTACCCATGAGTGAAATTCGACGAGCTCATAACTTTTTCAACAGCCACGAGTTTGTTGATTTCACTGATTGACTTTGACATTTCATAGTCTGATTCAATGACCTTGTTAAGTCTTCGAGCCTCCAGACAAACTCTTACCGAGTTATTCTTTTTGAAAGTAGTCATTAACAATGATGCATACTTATATCCTCGTATACTCCATATCCTGTATAGTTTTATCTACTTTTCCTCGATGTACTAACTGGATAGGGTATGGTTTTATGGAAAATTCTGTCGAGTTTCTCAATTTAATACGGTAAACATATTCACTCTTATGCCAGTGCAAGTTAGGTGTGGAACAATGGCCCAACTATGTCCCCGAATCAATTAATGATGGGATTTTGTTGCCGTATAATTTCAAAATGATAACAGGTGAACGATTTTCAGAATATGAGTGATCATATGAACATTCTTGAACTGATTCATCTGAAGAATGAATGAACAACTACAGAAAGTGAATTCAGAGAAAAGTTGTTACTTTGTAATGCTCACTCTCAAGTAGTCCAGCCCAATCTACGGATTTCCTATTTTTCCAGTTCTCCTGGAGAACCAGCCCTTTGATTAGGCGCGAAGATGTGCTGAACCAAGATGGAGAGACGGAAAGGAATACTATGAAATGAACATTGAAAAAGGAACTCAATGGAATGACAGGCAATCATAAACCTATTTTATAAATATACATTAGTAGTTAGGACAACAGATGGAATACTTTGTCCATTGTTTGTTAAACGCACCAAGATCAATAAGAATAATATTTAGCACAAATATATAAGGATATATATGTTTTTAAATTTTCTGTTGACATCAAGATTCATATTTTATACAGAAAAGCTAATTTGTATCAATCCAGCTATGATTTCAATGAGTTCGACTAAGAACTGCTTCTAACTGCATTTGAACTTCTTCAAATATCAATGGTTACATATACCTTCTAATTATTTTAAAGAATTGTTTTTTCTGTTACAGATAAGTAACTTCAAAGAAGCTCAAAATATGCCCAGGACATCAACTGCATAAGTTATGGGTGTTACTGAAAATAAATGTTCACAAACCATATCCAGACATAACAATAAAAGGACAGGAAAACTCCCGAAATTATTTCGTGAATATCTGTTATGACCCAAATATATATTATATGAGTTATGAATAAATTTATTTGGTAGTGTTTTCATAATATTGTGTTTTCACCTTCTACTTCCTTGGAGCGAGAAATTATATAATTGCCTCGAAGTAAAAGTGTTTGATATTGTTACTTTTCTTATGAATTATAGCGTTTCTCATTTCATCACACAATTGTTACTTCTATTCATTCCATAATTCATTTTCTTAACATGATGTCTCTTCAATATGATCCCACATTCAGAGGTAATTGGTGATACCAGATAGGCTTGAGGTTGTTACTTTGAATATTTTCATGAAAGTATAGATATTTGGAAATGGAGTCAATGAAATTGCTACCAACTATAAGTAGAAGATTATATAGAGCGGTTTGATAGATTTGAGACCCAAAGTTACCGAACTTCCTTTGTTACTGCCAAGAAAAGTCTGAGGAAATGAATCCTTATAGCCTTATCACTTTTGATAATGTTTACTGCAGTCGTAGACGAACTGTCAGGCCTAAAAACCTGCAGATCACGATCGAACAATCTGAAAATTAGCATCGAGTCAGCCATTTCCGGTCATGAAATTTTACATTCTTGCGAAAATATCGATCGATATGAAAAATATCGATCGAAGTATTCTGCTTAAAGTGGCAAAACCAACAAGTTCAGGAGATCTTCGTTTGAATATTTTCTCATGTCTACCAAATATAGTAAAAAATTATGCTAAAATCAGTTCACTAATACCTTCATGACAAATCGAATTTCAAAAAATGTTTAAAAAATTGTGAGCCGTCATGAGACGCCTGGCAGATGTGAAACATCGAAATCATTTTGTGCAAGTAATATTTGTAGAAAAACAAATTACGATTGATACTAATATGACATAATCCTAAAATAAAATATTGAGAATTTTTTTGTATTTGATTCAAAGTAGGTGTTCGAAATTAGAATAAAATCGAAGCAAGTCAAATCTGGTGATCTCTCTCGCCAATTTTGTGATCGATACCATTTATTCGGAAAGCACATATTCAAAAACTCTCTAACACTGTATTTAAAATGTGTCGGAGCTCCATCCAGCTGTAAACACATCCGTTGTCTGATATTCAGCGGCATATTTTCCAGAAGCTTAGGCAGATCATCTCGTAAAAATTTTTGAAGTGAAACTTCTCTACCTGCGCTTGACTTAGAGAGTGAGCCGGTGAATGCGTGACGAGAGCGTTACGAAAAGTGTGATCGGGTGAGGCGAATGGAAGTTGAAAGGTAGGTATAAGTTAGTGATAAACTTTCTACAAGATAAACTAGAACTACAAATGAATAATAACCGAAATGAGCCTATCACAAGAGTTGGAACAACAAATTATGCCCTTTTCTTTAGATATCTTTCTAATTTTCATACTTAAATACTTGTGTCTTTCTTTCATCAATTCATATGTTCAACCCATTATTTTCCACTCATTTTTACTGCCCTGAAGAAGCTTCCCATTAGAAGCGAAAGCTTGGCATAGTAGAGCAGAGTTTTGATTTTGATGATTTCACTGAGAGACCACGTTAATCCATTTTACTCCAGTCGCTAAGACAATGGATATGGATGGAGGTGAAGGAGTTTTTCTTCAGTTGTGTGGCCTAAAGCACACTCCCTTTTTTTGGCCATTCATGTTTCCATAAAAAAAGTATGGTCCTATAACTCGTGTACCTATAATATCTCCCCATGCGTTAACAGATCGTCTATTCTGGTGATCCAGAGTGCGGAAAAATGAGGATTTACATCACTATGATAATGAAAGTCGTGTCTGTTCACTAAGTAATTATTATGAAAAGTAGATTCATCAGAAAATAAACGGATTCAGAAATAAATGGAATCCAAAAAATGTTCATTTTCACTAAATCATGTATCTTTCTCGATCTTAAGCTGACTCTTATGAGGATGTTCTATGATTGATCCCATAAAAAGAAATTCATTTTTCTCATTTCCAATAATAGATTTTGGTCTATTTGCCTTTATACGCTACACTTTCAGTCCTTCGAAATTCATGAAACAATCGTTTGAAAACCAACTTGTTTGAATGACTTCGGCCTGGATATTTTTGGGCATACCCCCTCGACGCCACCAATCGCTCAAATCATATCTATCCGCTCTTGAATGGAATAAATTTTCATTTTCAACACAAAGCCAATATCTAAAATACTATTTAGGTCTGATATAGGGGACCCCAAAATGAAATGAAACATAATTGAATTTTATATTATTCAGACCAAAAAAATATACAGGGTGTTCTATTTGAAATAACACAGTTACCTTTGTCCGAAATTATACAAAATTGACAATGATTTTTGAAGGTTACGTGGTAGAGAAGGTTAAGTGGTAGAGCAGAAGGTTGAGTGGTAGAGCAGGACATCACTAGGTTATACGTAGTGGGCTACAGAACTTCGCCTTCTAGGTCAGCAATGTAAATGAATGTAAAACATATTTGTTCCGTTTTCCATTCTGTTCTAATAAAGACAAATTATTATTATCATTATTATATTGAGAATCGGGTTTCAACGAAATTGATAACCCAAAACCTATTTTATGCTTGATCAGAATGCGAAGGTACGATTTCTATATGTTTTTTAGTTTCCAATAATCGTACGTAGCATTTTCATAAAAAAGCAATAACTCGAAAATGATTATAGTTAGGCACATAGTACCTTTCACAATGTCATATTATTTTTGTCTGACTCATTCAAAAATGTAACAAAATACAAGGTGTTTCATTCAAAAAACACAACTTTGATTTGTCACATTTTTTTGAGTCCCCTGTTGACTCTAAAATAATTTTCTTCTGTAGTCTCAATCAATATACATATAAAAAATAGAGAAATTCACGAAAAAAGTAATGGTTTGGTTTACAGGGACCGTGTCGTATGGGGTGCCCCACCCTGTATAAATAACTTACTGATGACTTGATAGTGTCATAGTGTGATTTTGCTTTCTTTGCAGAAGGCTGCTTTTATTTCTCGGCTATCACTTTCAAACATATTTATTTTATTGTTGTATATGTGCAATAAGACAGGATTTTTGAGGAAAGAAAGCTTTTGGCACTACCTCATCTTAATACAAAAAAGATCTTCCAAAAAAACAAGGGAAAGCAATCAGTTTTAAAAGAGGTAACTCTATATAAAGATGTGTAGATCATGCAAAGAAGTAACTTTCAGACACAAACTGGAAGAAAAAGCCCTCCTGAAACAGTTACTTTCATATAATTGAATCACACGAAAGAAAAATTCTTCAGGAACAAATACTTTCATATGAACACTGAATTATACAAAAAAACATTTCTCTACTCACTTTGTATTCCAAACATAGGTTTTGGAATTAAATCAGATATCATTCACAGGATTTCTACACAGCATACTGAATGAAATGTACAAATTTCACTTACATGAAACACTGTAATCCTCACTGGTAGACATCAATGTTTCGCCATAAGACACTTGCCTTAGGGCTCTTCAGTACCAATTTAGATAATATTATAAGAAAAACCACACAATTCATTGATAAATTACAATTTTTCATGTCAAAGAATAAGTTTGATCTACTTATGTCATCGATGACATCGTAATGACATTCATTCACGTATTCGATTCAGGAGGGCTTTTTCTTTTTCTTTCAGTTTGTGTGTGAAAGTTACTTCTCTGCATGATCTACTCTATGTATAGAGTTACTTCTTTCAAAATTGATTGCTTTCTTCCTTTTTCTGTAGGTAAGATTCCCACATTTTTTCGTATCAAGATGGAGCCAAAAACTTCCTTTCCCAAAGGAAAAAGTCGCGTTCTCCATACCGGTATATTATCGTAGGCTGTAATTTTATATGTAGGTTCCTTTTATATTAGAGATATGCAGTAAGAAAGGATTTTTGAGTATTCCAACTAGTGTGTCCATGAAACAAAATTATCTCTTCATCACTGTTTCTCCATGCCCTTAAATTTCCGGTGGGTGAATTTATATTCAGTATCAGCATTGCATTGCACCCATGCGGAGCCGGTGCGGGTTGTTAGTCTTTTATAGGAGGGATTGGCTTTTATACATACTCACCAATTATCTTACGCAAATCTCACCTTACACATCAGATTTGAAATATCGAACAAGTTAGAGTGACTCCATCTCGTATACAGCAGGCTGTTTGTTTTTGCATTGGAAAAAAATTCTTGACTCACCGATACGACATGGAAGATATTGTTTAAATTTGGCAGAAGAACAGATCAACTGAGGAACTTCCACGAAGCCTGACGCTGGATCAGAATTCAACAGAGGAGTGAAAATGTTTCTTTAAAAAAAATCTACTTTTACTTACTTTCCGCTTTGTCTACCAAAAGATTACAAATCATAATAATTTGCCTATGTGATGATCACTTAATGATATCTCGGGCTGGAACTTTGAGAATAATTAGTTTTCCTTGCTATATAAGTGAATTTTGGAATATATTTGAGTCACTATAAGGAATACTCCTTCCCATACGTATGAATAGAAGTATTCACAACTCAAGATTTATTTTCTCATTTACACATTCCCAAATGTATTGAATTATATTATATCAACGATATTGAAAATGTTACTCCTTGGCCTGATTCAAGAATTCCCAACAATGGGAAAGCATGCACCTGCCCTTTCGTGGTCCATCCTTGTGAGCTAGCTTCAGGTAAATTTCAATCAATATCGTTTCAACCTATCCAATACCGCCGTCGCCTTTTTCTTGGATGGCATTCGCTATGAAATGGGTGACGAGCAGCTACCTGTTGTTTGGAAACCCGGTATAATCACCACAATGAAAATTGTGATATTATTCGCACAAACACATTCGAATTCACTACTACCGATAGGATGGGGCCTTGATGTGAACAAACAAGGTATATTGGGTTCCGTCTCCAATGTATTCAGCGGTAAATCACCCTTGAAATATTTCATTAGTTTTGCTGAGGATTTAAATACGAGAATATTGAATTTGAAGCAAGATCTAATTCTGATTATAGCACGTCCATACAAAAATTAATTCATTGAATCAGAATCAGACATACTGTGCCAGAAAATCGTTAGAAACTGAAACTATTGAACCTCATCAATAAAAGTGGTAATAATGCCACAATAAAGGTGGCTTATCATATGTGGGACCTTTATGAATTACTCACCCTTCGTGATACAGCCCCAGATGAATGGGTCATGAAGAAAACCAACAGTCTCGAAAGACTTTGATACATCATCACTAGTTTCCAAAAAACCAACTTATCTGAAAATATATCAAGAGATGTAAAGAAATTCGTATATGCGAATATCAATAATATTCGACTATATCTAAACTCTGAAGTATACCCATATGAGAGTCGAACTCATCAGCCTACTATCCTTATGAAAATTTCAAACACAACTATTATGATGAAGCTATGAGTGAGCCGATTATTGACTGCTCCCAGCAACCCAAAGTGAAGCTTCTAGCAAACACCAAATTATATGCCCTTATCCACCAATTGATCTGTTCAGAATGAATTATGATTGATTGATTGATATGTAACTCACCATGGAATATTCGAAAATCATAAATGAAATACTCAACAATTTTTTCTGTTTTCCATTCTTTGATTCACCAAACTGTTAAATATACACAGATACGAATTGAAACATGATTCCGATTATAACTCATACAACATATTTTAAATATTAATCTAAAACAATTATCTGAAGCTACACATACGCCCTCATCCACATCTTCTAATTCCTGAGATTTGGAACTCCATGATTGCAATCAATATTTTTCTGTGGTATTCGGCGGTTGATAGGGATATATGTTGAAAAGGAAAAGTTCAAGTCTGCATCAATCATAATCTCGCAGAACTCATCTAAATGTCTGCTTCCATACGAATATTCATGACATAGTGCCACACCAAGTTCATACTTCTCATTGAGCTCTAAAAGTTTCCGCACCTTTTCAGCATCGAAATATATACTCGTATCATAGTTTGATGAATGTATGACATCAAAACTCAATGCATCCACATATTTCTAGGAGAAAGAACTCTGAAAATACACAAATTGCATTCATTAGTTTGGAAATGATGTGGGAAAATTATCACTTGAAATAATTTGACATGTTTGAAGCCAATGAGGTGATACATATTCTATATATTTCCATAATATTTCCACAAAAGATTAGAGGTATACTTAAAACATTCAATATAACACATTGAATTTGACCAATCAACGGGTTTTGGTACCAGAATAATCCTGTGAACTTTGACACACATAAGTAATCATGAATTTGCCTTCGGATGAATCCACTTCACGAATTATGTCTTCTGTGAATTGATCTGCGACACATTTCGGGAGCTATGATTCAAACCAAGTAATATTTTTCTCGTCCAATAAAACTTGTTGAATAAATAACATATGGTGTGGAATGCATCAACATTTTTTCAATTTTATAATATTCATTAATAACCAAAAATGTTATAGGTCACTGCTCTGAAGCTTGACTTTATTGAATTATAGCTAAATTATTATTTTCAATGTCAAATTTCAAATTATCTATTTTCTCAAAACATAGTGAAACTACGGTTCAAAAGATATAAAATATATTCACCTCCGTGACGAGCGATGTTCACTTCTTGGATTAGTGGATACTCGCTGCTGACCTCGTCACGAATACTCATCAACTATTCGACTAGTCCTCGAACATAGCTCGAGGTACACGGTTGACATCATTCAAGGTCAAGGTGGCGTGATGGAGGGAGGTCCTTAATCGGCTGCAATCTACTACTACTCACTTTTTTCAAAATGACTAACGTTTCTGAAAGTAACTCTATTCCATTCTCGAAAATCAAAAATCCACTTATGAAAAGAACTTCAGATGAAACCATACGTTGAAAATTGTCCGAAAATTCAGTCGAGGTTGACATTTCCGTTTCAAACCTCTCGTCATACAAGTTATTGACCCTTCAGTGATTTATATTACACAATAACTTTGTTGAGTAAACTTCTCAGTTTGGCTTATACTACATTTCAGCAGATTCTTTATTGGTTCAGCTTGTTTTTTCGTTTTTTATAAGTTGAAATACCGAATAAACAGCAAGAAACACGGACTTTTTCGCGAAAAATATCTTTCAAAGGAAAAATTGCTCTCCAGATCTGATTTTCAAATTTTAGATAAATATTTGTATATCTTTATTGATCAGCTAATGCAAAATGGCAATCTTTTTTTTATTTCAACATTATCTACTGAATAACTTTTATTTTCGGGGTTGTGATTTAATTGTATTGATTCATCCCTAGTCAAAAATTCAAACCTAAACGTCCGCCTATGATGTCTTGAATCGATTCATTTCAATATTTTATAACTCTCTCCCTCTTATCCCAATTGCAGAATAAAGAAGTTCTTAATCTGATTATCGAATATATCCTAACAAAACAATTAACCCAGACGATAAGAAGTTAACTCTGCATTCATAAATAAATAACATCGAACGATTCCATTCAGTACTCGATGTGTTGTAGACGAAACCAAAATGGGTGATTACTTTAAAACGTAAGTGTTCTCTGAAGGTGGGTGGTATCGTATTTATATCTTCCATGAATGTGGTTTTCATTGCAGACATAGTTATGATGATATTGTACAAGTGGTCAGTATATCAAATTTACGAAAAAACTTCCCAGTTGAAGATGAAATAAACGCTCTGGATGTGACTTCTCTTGAAAGATTTCTACATATAGGTAAGTACCATTACCACAATATGCATATGTATATTGCCATATATCGAAGAAAATGATGAAATTCAGAAGCGTTGATATGGACGTTTTCTTTCACTAAATCCATTCGTAATGAATAGGGTGAAATATTCATGGTTTTTTGATAGCTTTCGATATTTCACAAATTGCTTCTGAACTATGAACACCTAGAAATATTTCTTTCTTATCAATCATAAAGCAATTTTGCATCGAACAGGCAGAGATCATTTTTAATTTAGACCAACTTTGAAGAAGTTTTAATACTAGTTGCAATTTCAAACATATTTTTGCATTGATAATTACATTTTATATTTTTTCTAGTATCAGATTCCCTACCATTTACTAAATTCGAGCAATAATAAAACAATATTTTGACATTTAGTTTATTTTTTATTTCATCGCTTTCTATAGTAATTGTTATCGATTATTTTTCATCAAATTGTATGTTAAATAATAATTCGTAATTTTCAGTTATCAAAAAACAAGAAAAAAGAGAATTAACTTTCGTTTGATTTCTTTATATGCTGTTTATTTTAGCTAACCCCATTATTGCTATCTCGAAAACGGTAAGCCCAACAAGGCCAGTTGAATTGGACAGAAGTTTCCTATATTGGAGAACTGAAATAATTCCTTTCCAGGTCGAGAATATCAGTGGTTGCTTTTAAAATATTCGCCAAAAACTAGAATTGTCGAATTTTGTTTTTTGGCTCTGCCGCCTCCATTTCGAATGAAATAAAAAAAAGAGGGAATTTCAATACAACTCCATTATTGTCATTATCTGATATGAACCAATTCGCAATGCGATATTTCGTTCATTAGAAATCATCATCAACCAATTTTTTTCAAATTTGGGCCTGTATTCCGAGGCATAAATGAATTTGTTATCGCGGTGGCGGCAAAAATCGATGAAAAAACTAGAGGTCTGATAAAAAAATAAAGTTGATGATGAAATCAAATGAACGAAACGTCGCATTGCAAATAGGTTAATATCAGATCATAACGAATGTGAAACAGTATTGAAAGTTTCTCTATATTTTTTATATCATTCGAGAAGGGAGCGGGAGAGCCAAAAATCGAAATTCAACAATTCTAGTTTTTGGCGAATATTTCAAAAAAAAAAAACAATGATATCCTCGATCTGACAACCGTTTCCGAAATAGCAATAGTGGAATCAGCTATAAAAAACGGCCTATATATGTGATAAAAATTCATTGAATCGGCATAAATATGCACTAAAACGTAAAGAGTATCTTTTGTCAAATTCATAGGATCATAGTATATTCATTCGTTTCAAAGTATTTTCAATCAATATCTGATGACCTCTCCATTATGTTTCCCATTTATTATGGAGAGGAAGCCATACAAAAAATTCTAGCAAAATAACCCTGCACTTTGGTTCTTTTCAATTTTTCAAGATTTTCTTTCGTCAGGACATATAGAATTCATCCGTTTCAAAGTATTTTCAATCAATATCTGATGACCTCTCCATTATGTTTCCCATTTATTATGGAGAGGAAGCCATACAAAAAATTCTAGCAAAATAACCCTGCACTTTGGTTCTTTTCAATTTTTCAAGATTTTCTTTCGTCAGGACATATTTATAGAATTCATCTTCAAGCAGTAACAAATGACCTGCTAAAAAGTTAGCATGAAATTGTGGTCTAATATTCTAATGTTCAAGACAACAATATTCAAACCCCACACTGGTTTGGATTTCGGTTATCATCGGTTAGAAGTCGAATCGCCATAAGGCTTTTGCTTGGAATTGAATCATTGGATATATGTGAGACTAGGACTTAACTGAATGTGTTCTGAATTGTCACTACGTTTGAATTTTGAATATAATTATCCACTAAACACTTGAAGTTTATCAAAGAGGATGTTGTAATATCTTTCAATACCTTCTCAAATGACGATCTATAGATACCTCGAGAATAGGATAGGAATATCACATCTCTCACACCACGTATTATCTCGAAGAAAAAGCGGATGTAACAGCGTAATTATATTTGGAATTTTCTACAATGAAAACTTGTGCTGAGAGACGAATACTTTTTGGACTCATCTGGGAGTCAATAAAATATATTTCGGGGAGAGATGGACATCCTCGTTGAGCTTAGATCTTTCGGTCCTACAGTAACTCTATAATATCCTGTAAACATTCAAATGATTATTAACGAGAATTCCCGAAGTACAAATAAATGATAGTTATCTTAAATTGACCGCTTAGAATAAATCAGTCTGGAAAATTCACCAAACTACAACGAACGAGAAGGATTGAACGTCAAAAATGTTGCCAGTTGAGACTAAAGCACACTCCTGAAACAAATTTCATAATTGAAGTTACGAAGCTGTTAAGGACAGATGATGAACAGCCAGTACGGTATGAAACATTACAATGCGCAAAAAAATATATATTTAGGGCTATAATCAGTCTCGAGTTATCTTTGATTGAACGATTAGTCTCAACTCGGCTACCATCAAATTTTTTTTTAATACGATCCTGTTTCTTTTATTACAAGAATAGATAGAGCGATGAAATCACAATTCAGTGGTATATCTCAGTTGATATTTTTATAGCGTTTCATTTAAAATAAATAGAGTGACATCAGTGAAAACAATTTTCAGTTACTGTCCCCTGTCATTAGTTCTTTTGTAAATTGTTTCGATTTCTTTAAAACTATTGACCAAAATTCGTATTCTTCACTTTTGACTGACTGATTTCTCTTGAATCAATTTTTATGGGAAATATTTTTATTATTCTCAATTCTGTGAGTAACGAAAATATTAGGTTTTGATCAAAATATGATTGTTGTTCAATTTGGTTCAATTAAATAACATATCACTTCATTTACCATTTTTCAACACGTAGGCTTTGCTTCGTTTCTATGGCGGAAAAAGAAAAGAGTTGTTTATATTTGTTGAGAACTGTCAAACGTCTATGCAAATACAAATCTTCTTTTGGCAAGAAATATGTATCATGAGCTATACCCGAATAATCGTTTTTCCATTATTTGAATGCTAGAGGATTAGAAAGAAATTTGACAAAAATAGATGTAGAAAAAGCCTTGTTAATGGAAATGTGAGGAACCAAATAAATCTTTCGGGTAAGCGAATATTACCGCATAAAGATGGTCAAAATGAAAAAAAATACCTTTTTTTCAATTCAGGATTGTTTTCTACGAAAAATTACCTACAAACTAGGGGTTTCTGTAAAATATACCTGGAAGGTTTTAAAGAAGGACAAAACAAATGCTACATGACAAGCAAAGTTCATCACCCTAATTAAAGGGATTACGGAAAGAGAGTAATTACGATTTGCAAATGATTAAAACGTAGAAATAGAGATGGACGATTCAATATTCACCAACAATGGTTGGATTAACAATAACATTCTTCTAGGTAGAATAATACAAATGAACAATTACTGTATAAGAAGAAACCAATTTCCCTGAAAAGGTTCGGAATGAATGGTTGGTTGGGAATTTTGAAAATATTCATACTAGTTCCTTTCTTTTACGATGCACATTTGAATGGTGAATTGTACATGCTTTATCCAATGAGTTTGATGGCTATTTAGATGAATTGCAACTAAACATCTGCCGTGAAATACAATATTTCACCAAGACTGTGCCCCTCCTCATAATACAGCAATAGTAAGAATACGATATTACCAACGAAATAAACTTTTTTCGACACTCTTTGTACGTATATCGACCCTAAAATTGCTGTTTTTGGATTTTCAAGAATACAATTGTTATTTCAGAAAATATAAAGAAATGAAATAGAAAGTTTTATTGTATTCTGAATGTACTATAACGGTGTAACAATAAATCGTTGAATAAAAGTTTCGTTTCATCACGGCCACCATCAACTCAATTTTGTCAGATACTGACCTATCTCTTCCATTACAAATATTGATTAAGCAATGAAATCACAATTCAGTGATACATCAAACTTAATATTTTCAAAGCGTGTCAGCGTGACGACAATCAAACAAAATAACAATTTATTTCATATTACGTTTTTTGAGGAGAACAAAACCAATACAAAATGTCAAATTACATTGGATGCTTCAATTAACGGCCTTTTTGTTGAATGCACATGAATTGTATGTCCATATAATTTCTGTGGCCATTTTCTAGCATGATGGGTGTAATGCTTCAACATATATCTCTAATTTTTTGTTTGAGATGGTCGATATCTGTCAAAAAACTTTATTCTTTATGTACAAAATATCTGAAGGAATAAGGTCTGGGGATCGAGCTGGCCAGGCAATTGCTCCATTGTTTCCAATCCATTTCTTGGCAATATTGCATCTGAATGTTCCCCTACCGTTTCATGGGAAGGGAACCGTTTTGTTGGAAATATTGTAATTCACAACAGATGTTCAGTGGCAATTTATCTAAGTAGCCGCACAACTCATTGGATAAAAAATGTTTATACAATTCGCCGTTGAATTTTTGATCGTGAAAGGACATACGTAGTATGTTGAATCCTAAAATACTCAACCAAACATTTATTCCGATCCGAACCTTTCTTATTACTTATATGTTACTATTACTATTTTTTTCACCGTAGTGTGCGCTGGTCAGGCCCTATCCCCCGAAGCCCCGATACATTCGGGAGGGCGCGCCAGCATAATCAACCAATGACCACATTTTAATGATTGTGGGCAATTTTTCGAAAAGAATTATCTTGATTAGAATGATGTGTAGCTGGCCAATCCAGAATTGAACAAAAACAGCTTTTATCAGGTGATATTTGCTTATTCAAAACATGTGTTTGGTTCCTTACAAATCCAGTTACAACACATTTTCTAGTTTTATTTCTATCAAATGCACCACAATCTCCCAAAATTCTTTCTGATCGTCTAAACATTTGAATGTTCGGAATAAGGCGATTTGAGTACAGCTTGTCAAATCTAAGAAGAGACTTGAGAAATCTTCCTCTCTTTCATCTCTCACTCTCAGTGTCTTTTGACGAACGCTGATCTGTATATTACACATTCGAAAAACTGATTCTTTGTTCCTTTCCATTTCGAAAGCATGCAATCATTTGTGTTACTTTGTATTTTATATTTTTTCCAGTCATCTACATGACAACATACCTTCCAGAAGATTTTTTACTTAAATACAATAATTTTTTAGATGAATCGATCAATGCAGATGACGATGAAGATTCCTCGTTGCAAAGGCTATCCTTAGCACACGAAAGGCTCCATTCGATGCCCAAGATATTTTTGGACGAAATGTCATCACACGTGAAGATTTTGGATATCAGTCACAATGAATTCGAGTGAGTCACATTTCATGATGTCAATATAATTTCAGTCATTAAATAATGCATACTAATTTTCAGAAAATTGGATTTTTTAAAAGAGTTTACGCAACTCACCAATTTCATTTGCGACCACAACGAGATAACCACTAGAACTGATATTCCATATCTTCCTAAGTTAGAGTTACTTTGGATGAACCATTGTAAGGTGAGATGATTATCCAATTGAGTCATGATGAAAAGATGTAATTTTCTTGTAAGTGATATAAATTACATCGGCTTTCAAATATAAAAACAATGAATCTAAAATCCGGGGGAAGATCGACCTTCATCCATCAGATAATCACAATCAGATGATAATATTTTTTCTTTAATATAATTCTTTAAAAAAATGCCTATGATAATTTGCCTATCGAAAAGGTCACATAGCTATTTTCAATTGAATTAATTTTATTCAATTTTCTATCATCACCTTCATTCTTCACATTACCGAATCTCAACTGATAGCATTTAACACACAGAATATGCCTAAGTAGGCTTGCCTACTTATTTCTGTGCATGCCAAGCAAATGTGAACAGGTAAGTCAAGAAATTGATATCATAATTAAGAAATTTAAACGTTTGGTTGAAGGTGATTGACAATTTTTGGGAAAGAAAGTTTTTGGCTTTCTACTACTCCATCTTGATACAAAAAAAGGATGAGGAAATCTTCCAAAGAAAGGAAGAAAGTAATCAATTTGAAAATAAGTAACTCTACACATGGATGTGTAGATCATGCAAAGAAGTAACTTTCAGANTTTATTTTTTATTATTTTACAGCTGTAAGTATATATAATAAGAAATAATACAAAAAATGTAGTCGAAATCAGTATAATAAATTAGAGTTCAACATTACTGTCGAGTGTATAAACAAATGCTGTCTGTCTCACTCACATGTAGATACACAAGCATAGATACACAAGCATGCGCACTAGGATACATTTAACGGATCTCGGATGCTCTACTTTCTCTCGCGCCTATCAAATAGCACCAATTCCAAAACTTCATAGCTTCATAGCTTCATATTTCATGTACGTTTGTTTGCAGGCAACCACATACGATTGATTTTGTAATTAAAATATTCTACTAAGTCTCGAGCTGTGGCGCTTGATATTTCTAAGGCTATTGACCGAGTATGAGAGTTTGCTGACCAAACTTCGATGCTATGGCTTATGGCTTATCGGATCATTTTTCTGTAAGGCTCTTCAGCTTCCTGCGAGTGACCGTCGATGGATGTCTCTCGAATTATTTTACCATCAACGCTGGTGTTCCCCATAAATCTATATTATCTCCAACCCTCTTTTTATTGTATATCAACGACTTATTGGAAAAAAATAAAAATCCAATATATTGCGTTGCTGACGACGGCACACTTGTCCCGTCATTACATTTGGATTCCAGGACATCGGCTGCGGATGCACATCTTCACCGGCAGCAGGAGGGTGCATATCTTAATGAGAATCTAAAGTCATTTCGAATTGGGGTGAAGGTTACCAGGTCAATTCAGTGCCAATTCAGTTTTCTTCAAAACGATAAATGTCTCCGAACCAGATATAATACTGTTAGGTCAAACAGTTATGCTTTCTGCTTCGATAAGTTTGTTAGGGGTTAAAATGAACACCAATATGACTTGGCACAATCATGTCGCTGGAATTGCAAAGGCTGCTTCTCGAAAGCTTGGAATACTGTTCCGAACCAGAAAGCTGTACACACTTCAGCAACATTTGATGCTTTGTAAAGCTCAGATTAGACCTTCTTTGAAGTATTGTTCACATGTATGGTGCTCCGCCTCCAAACATATCCTGAAGCTGTTGGATTCCATCCAGAAAAGAGACAATTGCGTTATTGGAGACGCGAACTTGCAACCTTGATAGTCTGGAACATCGAAGAAAGAATGGAGATTTGTCACTCTTCTATAGATACTTTCACGGGGAGTGTTCAAGTGACATTTGATTCCACCAAGAGCGGTACACATCAGAAATACGCGACGGACTGTGGCTGCTCATCGTTTTGAAGTTCAACTCAGTACACCTCGAACTTCACTGTCTGAGAACTCTTTCATTTGGAGAACTGCGCTCAGGTGGAATAAACTTCCTGAGAACGTTTTTCCAAATATATTATTTGATCCCCATCGATTCAAATTCAATGTGAATCACTATTTTCGCCCAGACATCGCTCTAAGAACTCCTTAAAGATTTTCCTGTAGGGCTTGTGTTTTGTCCTTAAAAAAAGTTACTTATATTGACTTACCTGTTGAAATCTGCTTGCCAGATAGTCATACACAAACGTCTTCACGTGAAGACAAATGTGGATACTAGCAATCGAAACGTCATGAAGAAACTTGGCCTGAATTATTTTCAGCTATAATATCCCAAGGACATTGATAACTAACGAAATAATTTTATCACAGTTTTCGAAAGCACGTTATTTGGTAACATCCCGACGCCGAAGGCGGAGGGATGTTACCTAACTCTTTCATTTGGAGAACTGCGCTCAGGTGGAATAAACTTCCCGAGAACGTTTTTTCAAATGTATTATTTGATCCGCATCGATTGAAATTCAATGTGAATCACTATTTTCGCCCAGACATCGCTCTAAGAACTCCTTAAAGATTTTCCTGTTGGGCTTGTGTTTTGTCCTTAAAAAAAGTTACTTATATTGACTTACCTGTTGACATCTGCTTGCCAGATAGTCATACACAAACGTCTTCACGTGATGGAGTCAAATGTGGATACTAGCAATCGAAACGTCATGAAGAAACTTGGCCTGAATTATTTTCATTCTAATTTTCAATTGTTGCTTGCTTGCTAGTAGTGAAAAGTTCTCATGTATTTCCCTATTTTGTATTCATGGGAATATTGTTTCATAAAATAAAAATATTACTTACTGAAGCTTCAATTAATATCAAACGTGATTATTTCAGATTGAGAAAATATTTCCATGGATACTGAAATTGCAAGAGACTTGTCCCAGTTTGAAATACCTCTCATTGATGCAGAATCCTATGTCTTCTTCAAACTTGAACGATGTCGGTATCCAAGACAATAGCGAATATAGGTAAGAACTCATTCTGAGAACAGCTTTCATGAGAAATAATATGTATCTATTGTCCTTTGGAGGTTATATTATTTATGCGACTTCAACAATAATAATATGACCACAACAATAAAACACTGGATAGGTTCCAGACAGAAGACAGTGAGGTATATAATTTGACAAATCGAATACAGGTGGTTCGATTTGATCATTTTCCAGTGGTGAACAAAATAAATGCTGCGGTATGCCACACTATACTTTTCTCAATCCCTTGCTGTTTTCATTCATAGTACAATTCCAGAATAGTACTAAATTTTCAGAAATATTATCGCATCAAAACCGAAACATTGTTGTCAAGGTTGTGATTCTATATATTTTATCATCATTTTTTCTCATCTTTTTAGTATAATTTCCGTAAGCCACTGCAAGAGACAGATTAAGGCAAAAACGTAGTCATTTCTGAGAATGTAGTGCCTACTCTTTTGGAATTAGTATAATATACTAAGTAATTAAGTAATGCTGTGGAAGATATCGATTCATATCAATCGTTCGATATTACAACAGGAAAGTGTTTCTCTGCATTGAGCGTTCATTTTTCGGCATTGCAAAGACGAACATTTTCACGGTTACCACATTTGCAAGCCCCTTATTTTATTAGGTATGTAAAACTTCAGAAGATTTACGTTAAGAAATTGCCGACGAGTGATATTGAAAAACTCTAGAAATGCTTCGAAATGTACGTGAATATTTCGAACAGAATCTTCATTATCATATAAACACAGCTGGTCATCAGTTTGAACATCCATCAACTAAGTGCGAATAACCATCTCAACAAATTCCGAACTATTGGGTGTAACTTTAAAATTCACAGATTGCTCTAACAGGAATTTTAATCACTTCAAGACAACATCTCACTTGATCACTCATACCTCTTAAAATTATTGTGGTGATTTTTACCTTATTTAAAATTCACAGATTGCTCTAACAGGAATTTTAATCACTTCAAAACAACATCTCACTTGATCACTCATACCTCTTAAATTTATTGTGGTGATTTTTACCTTCACTTGGGGATGGAAGTAACGAATCAAAACAAGCAGAAAAGTATGTCCTAGTTCAATCAAAAATCGAGGGGTCCTCACGTTTTTCTGAATTGTTGGTACTTTTACTGAAAATGACTGTTTTGTTTTCGTGTAATCATACTGAGCTCATTCTTATAGTACTGCCATCGAATTTCATTTAGAAACAAATAAATGAAGAGTTTTTAGTTGTATTAGGCGCTTTGACTCTTCATACGCACTTGTGATGCACTGTTTGGAACCTTTGGTATAGTAATGAATATTACTTGAGTTTTAATGAATATTACTTGAGTTTTATCCCAACACCAAACCGTTATTTAAACACCTCGATACGTGTTTCGATCACCAAGTGATCATCGTCGAGAGGAAGATTAAAGGAATAATCTTCCTCTTGAAGAAAGATTGAAATATTAATCTTCCTCTTGAAGGAAGATTAAAAGATTAATCTTCCTCTTGAAGATAATCACTTGGTGATCAAAACACGTGTCGAAGTGTTAAAATAACGGTTTGGTGTTGGAATAAAACTCCAGTACTACGCAATTGGAGAAAATGCTGTTGTTACACTTAGGGAAAAAATCAAGAAGCCCACTTCGAAAATTGATGGAAAAAGGTACATATTTCAAAAATTGGTAATTTTCAAACTACAATCGAAAACCAATTGAAAAATAATCAAACATTTTCATATTTTCCGCGGTTTTTGAGTAGATAACAAGCTATCAAATTTTCTCGTACAATCATAGTTATGACATTTTTATATAACTTTTTGAGACACACAAAGTTGATTTTCAACTATATTCGATATTTTCAGTCTATTTCAAAACATTCGAGAAGAAATCTTTCCTTCTCCACCAACATCTCCCAAAATATCATCTTTGAAAAACTTCAAATAATTACGTTCGCAGATTCCAATGGAATCAATAAAACAGAATTCAAATCCGTTCAGGGGAAATCTTGGCAGACCTGTTGAGACACCTTAACATCTTTAACAATGATTATTTTCAGTCATTTCAAATATAATCGACAGATATCTCAATTTCTTCAATATAACCCGTATTATCATTGTTTTGAAAAGGGGAAACTGCCGGATGTCGATCCTTGGGTGGTGGAGGGCAGTTAACTGTCTACTTTCGTGCTTTTCAACATTCCAAAATCCAAGTGTTATTTTCCGAAGTCATCGATTATTTTCCACAGAATAATTTGNCGGAACTGTGTTTGAAAATAAAATTTCAATTATCCGAGTTTGCTCAAAATATTTCAGTCTATACTTCGATACAAACTCAATGAATAGTGAAATCAATATCTCACTTATTCGGTTATTAGAAAAAATTAATGTATCTTCGTATTTGTGTATGTTTGCACCCAGAATACCCATAGCATTATGGGGGTCCTTGGGTGGTGGAGGGCAGTTTAACTGTGTACTTCCGTGCTTTTCAACATTCCAAAATCCAAGTGTGATTTTCCGAAGTTTTCGATTATTTTTCACAAAATAATTTGTGATTGACATTCTGCTATTTATTTTTCATCACCTTCCATGGTCATATTTCTGAATTTACTCAAGATTTTTTTCAGATTGTTGTGCATATCCTTGTTCCCTCATTTACTGCACCTGGATGATAAAAAAGTAACCACCAGAGAAAGAAGAAAGTCCAAAAAAATGTTACAAAGTTCTGTAATAGAAAGACTGGTACAGAAAACTCAAAAACACTTACCTATTTATTTAAGGGTGGCAGCCGAAAAAGTTTCGATGAAACTCTCAGAAACCTACAAAAGGATCCAAGAAAAAAATACCGTAATTTAGCTTTTGACACGTAGCAAATGACTTTTTTTTTATTAAATTGTTTTGTGAAACTGTCTATTCAATAAAAATCTGAAGTTATTGATAATCATGAACAGTGTGTATATAAATCCGTGTGTGCGTATTTGTTTGTGTGTGTTTGCGATTACGCAATGGTTGTATACTTTTTGATATATCATTGAACTCTCCCAGCGATTCGGTTTATATCTCCACAAAAAGTTATCCTTTCATGAGTGTAATAACTGCCATTGTGATAGTTAACGAAAAATATAATTTCATTCGTAAAGATCGGGGTCAGTCACTTGGTTTTTAGGTATCAATACTTTTTCAACAGAGTAAGCATTGAATTTAATTTACAATTGTTGAACCTTATCTGCATCATGAAGATTATGTTTCTTTCGGCTAGACTAAACAAACGTATCCTGTTGATAAGTTATAATACTGGGAACGTAAAAATGCAAACTAAGAGTTTGCATTTCAGCTCCGTGGACAGGAAGTTCGGCCATATCTGAATAGGTGGGCACGAAAATTTATTTAAAATAAAAACTGACCAATGATTTCGATGAAAAGAAGATATCGGTCTTGAGTAGGAAGGGTTATGGAAAAATTCGGGAATATTAAATAAAAATCAGACCAATTAGGGGACGGTACAAGGGAGGAGTATTAGGAACAGTTTTTCAGACTTGAGAATACGAGGAAGTCGGTTAATTGGCGTGTTGGCGATCGGACAGTTGCGAAAGAAGGTCGCGAAAGGGTCGCGAAAGTCAGTTGCGGCAGATAGTTGCGGAAAGGGATTTTGCGAAAAGGGATTTTACGATAGTGGAATTACGGTAAATTGCGGTCAATGAATTAATTGTGGTGTAGCATTTGGTGGCACTTACAACGGAGTTGTATTTCACACAAATACCGTACCAGAGAGGGAGACCAGAACCCAGTATACTATCGTGAGTCAATTTGGATTGACCAAATTGGCCCCCATGTCGGTTTAGAGAGAGAGAGAGGATGTCATTTTGATTTTGTAATAAGTGTCTTATTTATGATGCACTGTTTGGAACCTTTGGTGTAGTAATGAATATTACTGGAGTTTTTTCCCAACACCAAATCGTTATTTTCAACACCTTTGAAACGAACTTTGCTGTCCAAATTTCTGAAAAGATGGCATGGCATGTGCCAACATACCCTCACCAACTTCTCCAATAGTAATTCGACGATTCTCCATAACAATTATTGTCTTAGCTTTCTCAACATTTTCATCGGTTGTTGATGTGGTGGGGCGTCCAGGGCAAGCGTCTTCATTCACATCTTTTCTACCTTCTGTGGAAAGCCTGTACCACTTGTAAACATTTTTCTGGCTCTGAGTACAATCACCGAATGCCAGTGTCAATATTTCAAGTGTTTTTGAGCAGCACTCAATTCTATTTTAACACAAAATTTGATGCAAATTATTTTATGCATTTTATTCGATAGCAAAAAATCGCAAAACATGCAAAACATTTATAACTAAACTAAACATGCGCTGAAGAGCTGAAATTGTGAAATATTTTCAAACTAGTGTACCAGTATAAAAAAATCGTTAATCGAATGTACGTAGCCCTTGAAATTTTAACATTGAGCATATTTTTTGAGGTATGATGTATCAGTGTCAATTTTATATTGTTCTTTAAAAATATGAAAGACTTACTGATCAAAATTTGCTTATCAATTGAGAACTGACGGAATCAATTATATTTTACATACTTATCGACAAATAAACTCGTGAGATATTCACAGCATTTTATTATTTACATAAAAATGACAAGATTCCACTGTTCAGAAATTATCTCGAAGATAATTTCTGAACAGTTCCGGTCATCATTCAGATAATACAGACAGGTTTATTTGAACAATTATCAACAGAGGTATGTAACTCGTGAACAGACATAAGCCGAACATATCCTTCAATCGTAATATTTTGTTAAAATTACCTTAAGCATTAGATATGTTTCATTATTTGCTTCTCTAATGAATTTGTTGATCTGCTCGCTGTTAAAGACTTCTGAATACTCTATTCTCTATTCTATTTTTTCTCTTAAGAAATGCGATAACCTTCGAAAAAGTGGTTTACATTTTTGTCCTCTAGAATGGTTCTTTTCAACAAAGAGTACACGCTCCACAAGGTAGATAATTTGACAGCTTTAATAGTTTTGCATTTCTTCATATTCATCCATTTCCAAAACAAATTATTAACGTTTCCGTACCTGAACTTTGATTTTCCAAGCAATAATTGTACTATAGCAACAGCTGCAACATTGGAAATTTCGTAAGAAACTCGGTATCGCTGCTGCTTTCCATACTTCATTGCGATTTTGAACAAAAACCATGCAAAATCACAAAAATCTAAATGTCAACTAATTATATGTCAAGTAGCTGTCAGTCGTAATTTCCCTACTATGATAATGATCAACTGCATTTATCAAAATCATACCTACCAAGATTTTCATTTTAACAATGGCAACAATGATATGATTCTTCTCGGCAGACTCTGGGAAGTATGTATTTCCCGGACTATGACTACTTTCTCAGTAGCATTTTTTCGAGAGTTTTCTGGAGTTTGTACTTCCAGTCGGTTGCCGAACGTAAAATTTTTTCTCGAATATCTTAAGAAGACAAAAGTCAAAAAAGGGATTTCAACAATGATATGATTCTTCTCGGCAGACTCTGGGAAGTATGTATTTCCCGGACTATGACTACTTTCTCAGTAGCATTTTTTCGGGAGTTTTCTGGAGTTTGTACTTCCCAGTCGGTTGCCGAAAGTAATATTTTCTCTCGAATATCTTAAGAAGATACAAGTCAAAAAAGAATTTCGACAATAACAGTTTTGGTAATTTAAAAATTATTAACGTAGTCGAAATGAAAGTATAGCGTACTAGACTGGACCTACCAAGTAATAAAAAATCTAACATTTCGATTACAGTGGAAGATGTGGAATACTTGAGAAATTGGATTATTACTGGGTGTAACACAATCAGAAACCATCCTGGTGTTTTTGAAAGGGTTTGGAAGTCACTAGAAAGCCATAATTTTTCGATCAAGCATGCTGTGCATTTGACGTTTGTCCTGGATTGAAGGTAAACTTCGATAAATATATTATCAAAATGTCTGATATCAGCGAAATAAAAGAATTACCATCGACTTCTCCTCACATATCGGAAAAAGCAGAAAATGCAGTAGGTAAAAATATTTTATCACAAAAATACAAGGAAGTTTACGAAAAACTATATCAACGGTTTAAGGACTGGAGAAATACAAATAATATTTCGACATTATCCGAAATTATTTCGATTGCTTAGTAAGATATGGGTGGAATCTTAATTTTCAATGTGATGGAAACTAAAACAAAAATACAACGAGCATTTACAATTACCGGCAAATACTATGAAATTAGTAGAAAATATATGCTTGGGCCATTGTTTTCGAAGGACATCTGCAATCGTATTAGTTGATGCCGGTGGTGATATAACTGCATTGAAACGTCATGATGGCTGGAAATCCAATTCAGTGGTAAAAGGCTACACAGAAAATTCAGTTCAGAGTAAAATCAGCATTTCAATACAATTTTTAACCCTATTGAGACCAGCAATAATGAAATAAATGTAAATATTTGTTTGAAGATGATTGACAATGTTTCATGATGAATTTTATCAGTTCGGACTTCCATTGACCAATATTACATAAAATGATTTGAAATCCCTGACAGCACCAAAGATTCAAAACAATAGCTAAAAATAAAAATTATATTAAGCACAAAAAACCCTGAAATGAAATTATAGTGAAATAAAATACAAGTAAAAAATAGAACAACTGAACAAAAATTTCAAGCCAAGTCAAGCCAAGTTACCTCACGAAGTTTCGATTGTTAGTATTCACAATCGTCTTCGGGTGATGACTGGACTGATTCCTTCAAAAATAGTCAGTTATTTCTCGAAGGAATTAGTCCAGGTATCACCAGACGACGAAACATCATAGAGTAACTTGGCTTGAAATCTCTAAGTTTGTTTGTTATATTTTTTTACTTGTATTTCATTTCACTGTAATTCCATTTCAGGGTTTTTTTATTACTTTCAGCTATTCTTTTTGATTTTCAATTTATATTGATTTTTTTAGGGATTTCAAATCATCTTATATAATATTAGACAATGGAAGTCCGAACTAATGAAATTCAAAATGTAAATATTCCTTCCACTTTCAGATAAGTCGGACCTGGAATGAAATTTCAAACTGCACACTAAATAATCTTAATATTTTTGAGAAATCGGATTGAACACAATTATTTCGTTCAATATAAATATAAATAGAATGTTTATAGTTTTTTTATATTCATAGTAATACACGAAGTAATACTATCAATTACAATTTTGTAGAATTTTTTAAAGAAATATAAGTAATTACTGTTATTGTGTTCAACACACATATAAATATAATATTCACCGTTCTTCATTATTTATCGAGTGTAGAAATGTTATTGTTACACTTGCAGCATAAACCACACGAAACTCGACTTCAGCTCGTTTCGTATCCCGGTTAATGCTCGTGTATTAATAACCATCATTACAAAATATACTATTATTGGTTGCTCCAAATTTGGTCAGTTACAAAACTTATTTCGTTTGAAGCTTTAAAATGCTCAAAAACTATTATACTATTACTTCCTCGTCTCAGCAAAGGAGCCGGTAAATAAAGTGCCTGTTGTGGTCCAAGTTTGAAGTATTTGCCTAGCGGGAATCCATTCACTATCACCAAACCTTTAGACCATCTCCTCATATCTATATAGGAATCTTTCGGTTCATCGTGGATCAGTAATGTGGCTTGATACATGCAAGGCCCATCGTATGAAGATTGCTTATCCTGAACCTCCAGAGAATTTATCCATTGCTTCTTGAATTCGAGTGGAATGATTGTCCAGTCAGCAATTTCGACATCGTTGATGTAAACTTGTTCTGTAAATAAAAAGATTGTTCATTTTCCAGAAAAAATATGATTCTGACTACTTGAAATTGAAATAATCAAACTTTATCTTTGTCGAGTAGAAAAATATAAACTGTAACATGGACCTTTTTTTAATATGAAGATGTTAGACTCAAAAATATAAGAATAGATAGGATAAACTATTTGCTCATGTAGTTATCATATAACGGAAGGAGGTGTTGAAAAAAAAATCCGACTGCCGTTCATCAGGACATTATGTAGTTTTAAAAAACACTCACACCGTGAAAAACTTCAGAAGACCGAAACACAAGACTCATAATTGAAGGTTTTTCAAAGCACTCACTTGCCATTCGTAGCTTTTCTCAACTTTTTTGAATGGCAATATATCATGTGTGATGAATCATTTCCAAAGTAACATCAGGTAAACAATTATCCCAAAATTTCTGATAACTCTGAGACCATAAGTCAAAATGGAAGATTTTAGTTTCATTAGAGATGAAAGCGAACCCTGACCTCTTTCCCCGCATGTACTCAGCTTCAACATCATATTTTTCTGATGTCAATATACCATGTGTATACAATATTTGAAGGTTCCCATTGGGTGAACTTTCAACATATAATATCAATTCGTTCCAACAACCCAAAACAAAGACGATTTAAACAACATATGAGAGACAATTTTGGGTTACTGCTTTATCTGTAAGAGAAATTAAATGTCTTACATCCCGAATAAATATACAGGGTGTTTATTAAACATGCGCCCAAAATTTGACGGACTATTCCTTGGATTATTCTAAGGGTATTTTGTCCTTTCATGATTTTTGATAGGGCGCTTTGTTTCGAAGATACGGAGCAAAAGAAATTTCGACAATAACAAATTATTACCCAAAATTACATGTAATGTTTCCTAACCTACAAGAACTGTTGAAAATGACTACTCTCACCCCCCGCTCGGATGCAAGAATCTAATCTTCTCCTCATCGACTCCAGGAATCTTTCAAAAACACCAGGTTACACCTAGCAATCACACGATTCTCGAATCTCCCACTGTAATCGAAATGTAGTTGCTAAGTACCAACGGAATTGTTAGATTTTTTATCACTTGGTAGATCCAGTGTAGTATGCTATACTTTTATTTCGACTACGTTAATAATTTTTAAATTACCAAAATTGTTATTGCCGAAATACTTTTTCGTCCCGTATCTTCGAAACAGAGCGCCCTATCAAAAATTATCAGAAGACGAAATATCCTTAGAATAGTCGAAGGAAGAGTCCCTTAAATTTTTGCCGCGTGTTTAATAATCATCCAGCATAGAAACAACCCAGCAATATAATGAAGTTGTTGGAGTTTCCATTACCTAAAATATACAGAATGAGTCAACAAGATTCCCTCGGTCCATTGCTATCAGAGGAAACAATTTTTCAAACTGATCATTTTTTTGCAGTCATATCGACGAATACTACCTTTCAAAATTATTTTCTCGCATACTGGTTGATTCAGCCGGGCGTGGCCAACCAAAGTAATTTTTTTGAACAGAACAACCAGTATGTGAATACGCCATTTGATCCCCTATTTTTTTAGAGCTATCTAAGGAATTTTTGATTTCGAATTTCCATTGCGGCATTGCCAAGTTATTCCAGAAAAACCTATTTTTTTAATTCACCACCCGCATGTCTATAGCAATCAAGTGGATTTTTTCAGGAACAGTCAGTCAACATCACTATGATAATTTCGGGAATCCTAACTTTCGGAAACAATATATAGGGTGCTCGGTAAAACCCGTCAAGTTTCATTCATTTTCAAATGTAACATCCTGTATTTTTTTATTTGTTTGAAAAGTTTCAACATTTCACAATATTTTTTATCGGAGGTATACTATATGAAAAACAAATATTTTACAACTTAAACTGTAACCACAAAAATTCATTTATTTACGTTCACTCAAATTTGTTTCAATATGAACAATAACGCCTGAATTTCTTATTGGATACAGAAATCCAAAAGATGTTCAAAATGGCGACCATTTTTTGCCTCTACACGTTCCAGCATATCCTCTGGGATTTCCCTGAAAGCTCTAGTGATTCTTCGTTTCATGTATTCTATAGATGTTGAAGGAATTTGGTAGACAATCCATTTGATATACCCCCATAAAAAATCCATTTTGGTCAGGTCAGGTGATCTGGGTGCCCACGCCACAGGCCCATAAGCCACAGGCCCATAGGCCACAGGCCTATACATTTTTGATTGGAATGATCGTTGAGGTATTTCCGTACCTCAGTTTCAAAATGTGGTGTTGCATCGCCTTGTTGTAACAACATTCTAGGTGTTGTTCCATATGGAAACTTGTCCAATAAATTCGAAAACTCATGCCGAAGAAACCTTACATATTTTCTTCCAGTGAGATGCCCATCTAAAAGATACGGACCGATAACTCTTCTTCCGAGAATTCCAACCCAAACATCAAGTGACCAACGCTTTTGATGGTTCAGGCAACGAACAAAATGGGGGTTTTCCTTTTCATAATAATGCATGTTATGCCGATTCACACTTCCATTTTTATGGAAAGTCGCTTCATCAGAAAATAACACGAAATCAAAAAATCATTTTCATTATTGATCTTTTCTAAGCCTCATCGGCAAAATTTAACACGTTTTTCAAAATCTCTTCCTCTCAACTCTTGCAACAATTGCATGTGGTAAGGAAAAAAGGAAATTTGCTTGCTCATTTCATTCGAGACACGCTGGTTTGAGAAAATCCTAATTCCCTGCTCAGGTCTCGGGTTGTCTTCTTTCGGGAAACTTCTCTTTATGAATCCTAGATTCAAGGAGACAGTTTTCGTCACTTTTCTCTAAAGCATAGACCGTTTGCACCATATCTTACAATACATAATTCATAATAGAAATGATTCAAACTACACGCGAAAGAAACTTCAACACATGGCGTTATTGGCAAATTCCAAGAATAATTTTTTGATGTCAGTCAAGGATAACTGGGTTTTGAAAGAAAAAAAGCAGTATAAATATTCTTTAGGTTTTTTACGTATTTCTCATCGTTGAAACCCCTGATAACTATCACGAGATGGTCTGAAAAATGCTAATGTACTGGCGATTAGTTTGAATATTCGAAAAACTTTGAGTAAGTGAACGTAAGAAAATACATTTTTTTTTGTTACAACACTTACCAAACTTGGTTTAATTTGTGAAATATCAGTTTTTCGTATAGTATACTCCTGATAAAAGATGTGGTGAATTGTTGAAACATTTCAATAAGATGAAAAAATACAGTGTGTTCCATTTGGAAAAGTTGAATTATGACTGTTTGAAAATGAATAAAATTTGACCGGTTTTATCGAGCACCCTATATACCAAAATATGTTTTTCCGTTAACCAGCTGTCACTGTTGTCTATGAAGCAATAAAGAATGTGTGTAAACTTTCATGGCCGAAGATGTGCCAAAGCTATTTTTTGGGTTTTTTGGCCGTGATCTGCGTGTTTCTATGCTTAACGTTTCGACTACTACTGCAAAAGACATGATCAAAAGTCATGATATCACGGTCAAAGTGCTCGAATTGTTCTCAACACAGAAATTGGTAGATTATGCGTTGAGAATAACGTTGAGTGGGTTATTTCACACATGTTTCACCTCAGCAGATGATTGAGCCCGGTTTATGTTCAATTGACTTGTTGCGAATTACCTATACTGAGGTTTGTTCAATTCAAAATTTTCTTGTATCCATTCAGGAACTCTGGATTTCCAGGTGATTGTCTTTCCGGCTGAATTTCGAAAGAGAGAAATTGGAGCCTATTAACTACATTGAAGTGATTTCAAGGATTTCATTCTATATCAGAAACATCAATAGTTTTTCACTCACCTTGCCATAGTCCTTTGAATGTTTGATTGTACTGCAATATATTCCCTCCATGCATCCTGCCCCACTCTTCAACAATGATATCAACTGTCGCATTAAACAACTTATCCTCGTTTAATTTCAGGGTTGAATCCTTCATCCGCCAATAACCAAAATTATTCAAGTCACTGGAGTTTTCTAGAAAAGGTGATACTAGTTCGCCATTTACCAATACCATGACTGTATCACAAACATGACCTACAATTTTCAGAATAGATCCAGCTTCCAGATCGATATTTTCTTTTCTGTAAACAATATAACCGTAACTTTGGCCAGATCCATTGTTGATTTTGAGGTTTTCCATCGCAATTACTTGCTTACTTTTCAATAAATATGGTGGGAAATTGTTTATTATCTCGAATAATTTAATTTGTTTATCTATTACCACAGATGAATAGGATATTCTTGGAATCAATTCTGGAGTATCGGGTATGAACGTTTTCACGACGTTGTATTTTTCCAGGAGTTCTTTAACTGCATAATACTTTTCTGTATAGTCACCAGCTTCATTGAGGGGTGCATCATAGTCGTAACTAGTAGTTGTAGGTAAAAAGGCTGAGTTGTCTAACAAGTCGTTATCTGAAATTGAAAATTTTTGAAATCTGAAGTTTCAATTGTTGTGGGTCAATGAACTTGAATTCGGTTTTTCATTTATTTGCTGCAATATAACAAAATATAACTATTTCCCACCATTGGTTTTCCTATCCAATGCGTTAAGCCATTATTGAAGAGAACAAATTCCGAGTTAGAAGGCCATGGTCGAATGGAACCTAGAATACCACTAGTTATGCACGCCACTCCTCTCCAATGAAAGAGAAAGGTTAAATCTGGCGGGTTGGTTGTCCTTGTTCATCTTTCATTGCCTGAACCACTGTGCATGCTGTTTTTTGGCGAGTGCATTGGCTTGGGATGTGGAGTTTGAGCAAACCAGCCGCTTATGAGTAGGTATCTTCGATAGCACTATTAGTGCTTTATGAAGTTTACTTTCCGAGAAACTTCCTTTTCTTCCAGAGGTGAGATTTTTGAGGTTGAAAACAAAGTGAATGACATACAATAATCTTTTCGATTTTGTTAAGTCATGTCGAAATAATATCAACCAACTGGGTCCATCAAACCACAATGGATGAAATATCAACTGTAAAGGCAAAAGTCTTCGCGAGGAGCAATCTGAAGGATTACCTGCGGACCCCACGTGGAACCAACACTCTGGAAGGTGAATTCGATTTCATAGTACTTAATATAATCTTGACAGATCCGAAAATACTATATTTGATTCAACAATGACTATTCGACAAATTCGTTTAATTACTCTCGTAAACAATGTGTAAAAGCCAAATGGAATAAATTCATTATATGGTACGCATATTTTAACAAAATCCCGAAACACGTCATATTTGATTTATAATTTGACATACTTCAACAGAAAAATGCTATCCCTACCTTCAACCCTTGTCGAATGACAAGTATAACCCAAATGTTTTAAATGGAAAGCATAGGCTTGTGATATATCGTTCGATATACAGGGTGTCCCTGGACTTCCTCTTTTCCTAATGAGAAATTTCCTTAATTTACCGCCCATATCTGGTCATGTGGGGCAGATAAAAAAAGCAGCTGCCAATGCAATGAGTGATGAACTCAAATTAGAGGTGATGCTTGAGTTTGAGGAAAACCCACTTACATCAAGTAGACAGGCATCCACTACATTCAATGTTAGCCATACATCGATAGTAAACAGTAAAAAAAATGCATCCTTTTAAAATAAAACGTACTCAGGAGCTTATGGAAGACAATTCGATCTAACTTATTTGTGAGCAAATGATGGACATGTTGGATAACAATATCATCCAATTAGAAGATGTTATGTTTTCTGATGAGTGTACTTTGTCTCTTAACGGTCATGCTAATCGGCAAAATTGCCGCTAGTGTTCAACGGAAAATCCTCACTGGACGAGAGAAGAACACACGTAATATCCTCAAAAGGGTAATTTTTGGGAAGGGATTGTAAAAAACCATATCATTGGTCCCTTTTTCATTGAGGGTAACTTGAATGGCGATAATTATTTGGCACTACTTGAAAATGGTGTCATTCCAAGTTTATATCCTGATCCAGGAAACAATCAAATTCCAGTGAATACGATATGATTTCAGCAGGATGGAGCACCACCACATTACCAAGTTAATGTCCGGCAATACCTCGATACATTTCCCAATCGGTGGATAGGAAGGCGAGGATCGATTGAATGGCTAACGCGATCACCTGATCATTCATCATTAGATTTTTTTTATGAGAATATGTAAAGAGCAATGGGTACAAAACTAAACCTTCAGATTTGAATGAGTCAAAAGAACGAATAACGTCTGCGATTGGGTGGGTGACTCCTAATATGTTAAATAATGTTAGAAGAGAGTTTTATTTGAGATTAGCATGTTGCTAAGCGTTTGCGGTGAACATTTTGGAAATCTACTTCGTTAACATCCATAGTTCTTTTCCGTATTCTACATTTCATTACGTTTTGCATTACATTTTAGTTTTTGAGTGTATTTTATCGAATTTTGGTAACCACATGATTTTAATTTATGTTATGTTAGTTGTTGCAATACACTTCAAAGCGATAACATTTTCGAATAGAGAATGAAGAGACATTTCAAACGGTATATCACAAACCTATACTTCCTATTAAAAAAATTGGGGGTTGTACCTGTCATTCGAAGAGGGTTGAGGGTAGGGGTGGCATTATTACGTTGAAGAATGTCAGATTATAATATTCATTTCACGTGTTTCGGATTTTTTTTTAAATATGTACAGTAACCGAAATAATGAATTTATTCCATTTGGCTTTTACACACTGTGTGTATACATATTTTGTTTCATTTATTTTCCATCCGATAAATAAATTTCTACTTCATTTTATTTGATATTTCTTCTAAATCTAGACCAATCTCTTCGCCATCCAACATTTTATATCCACACAAAAATATGTTTTTCAATACTCACTGAGATGGGCTCCATTACCAAAAGCAAAGTTACATCCTCCGTGAAACATATAAATATTCACTGATGCGGGATATTTGAGGATTCGTTCGTAAACGTCTCTCATATCAGAAGTACTTCTAGTTTGATGATTATCTGTCCAATGATCAAACCATCCAATCCAAAATTCCATTACCATTAGGGGCCTATTCAAAATAACAAAAATATTTTAGATTTCACTGATTTCGCTTGCAGGATTTGTTTCGTTTACTGAACATATGAGGTGGCATTTTGTGAACAGTGTAAGGGATTAGCTCCATAAGAACCAAATATAATCTCCACATGTCCCAATCATCTAAATTTTGATAAATTCATCTTCGAATTTGTGTCAAAATCAGTCACAAAGCATCAACGCCTTGTTTAAGCGATAAAAATGAAACTTCTTCATTTACGAATATATTCAGGGAGAAAGATTGGTTGGATAACAGAATCAATTTTTTTGAAGTAAACAATTTCTTTTTTGCCGAGGTTTCGAATTCAATTAAATTCTTCTTCATGTCGACATGTCCTTTTGTCTTGTTGTTGTCTCGAAAATTTGGTTGTTGCAATGTTTTTTATTTTTTATTCTGTATCCGATATGTTTGATGGTTTTCAAAATAGTTATATTATCAACACGAAGAAACTACTTTTCGAAACCTGAAAAAGAATTTAATTGAATTCGAAACGTCGGCAATAAAACGATTGTTGTTTTAAGAAAAATTGATCATGTTTCCCAACCAACCTATCTTCAGAAAAATTATTGGATAACTAAACTAGTTAACCAATACTTAATTTCATTTTTAAAATTTTTATTCACTAAAAGTTACTTTAAAAATTTGAAAATATTAGAAGTTTCTTTAATCATTCGATACGAAATTAATGAATAATTCTTCAAAATATGTTTACTGCGTAAAACACTCACTTATTGGGTTGCAGTTCGTTCAATCTCCCCAAGTAATTTTCTGGCGAATCTCCAAAATTAACCGTCTGAAATAATACTCCAGGAAGTGTTCCAGAGTCTCCCCTAGCGATTGCATTATCGGAAGTAACTAAGAGTTCCACAATATCATTATCCAAATATAACTGACGAAGGGCTCTCAGATATATCTTGGAAGGAGCAAAATTTCCATAACCCGTATATCCATATTCGTTCTCTATTTGGAATGCTATTATTGGCCCCCCTTTTGAAAATTGATACTTTCTGACGTTAGGTAGGAGTTTATTGAAATACCTAAAATGAAAAAAATTAATAAATGTTGAGAGTGAAGTTGATACGTAAACTTATGTAGTTTTATTTTATTTCACTTCCAATTGAATGAGTTTATTCCAGATATATAAAAATTATTAGTCATCAGGAAGACACAGGTAAGTTTTAACCAGCCAGGCCGAAATGTTCAACTGTGAAATCGTGCTTTTGGATATCCTGTAGAGATTTCATCTGAGTAGTCAATATTGATTTTCAAGGTGCTCCTTGAAGAAGGTGGGAAGACTCCCTCCCAACTTGATGACCGCTTCAACCTTCGCATACTTGAGCATCTGTGAATGAGCAGTGAATTTTTGGTCTATGTTTTGAAAAAATCAATGTCTGAGCATAAGCTTTTTCTGACCTGCTCAGGGATAGTATCATTTCTCTCCCAATACTGCCACTGCTGCTCAAGACTTTCGTTACAATGTAGGTTCAAAACATATAAGGAGGTGATAAGTCATTATATGACTGCTCAGCTTAGTCTTCTAGGTTTTTTAACAGGATTCAGAGGTGGGGAACTGAGGAGCTCTTGCTCTTGTCTGAAACAGGCACTTTAACCATCGCGCGCCAACCAAGTTGATTGGTGAAGGTGAAGAAGCCAAGTGGGTTGGTGAAATTCGCATCGAGAAGAGTATTGCATTTCTGTTGATTGGGAAAAGTGCTAGTTATGGATTCATTCTACGCCAGAAGTTCCAGTTCTACCTCTTATTCTTGATTCAATGTTACAGGAAGGACAGTTGGGGTAATTTTCTCAACTTCTGGCTCTTCTATAGAGTCAGTGTGGAACACTTTGGTCACTTCCTTATCCATAAATGGTTCCAGCTAGGAAAATGAGGTCCATTAGGAAAGAGCCAGGTATTTCGAAGGTTCCCTCAGTGACGTTAAGGTGAAATGTGAATTCCGTTTGAAAAATTCCATTGGAATGGTGGATCGGTGATGCATGTTTCAAATTGTTCAGGTATATTGGTTAGTTCTAAATAGTTTGAATATTTCTGTTCCAGTAAAACAGAGAGTCTCAATGCAGTAGAAAAAGATATTATCTAATGTGCATATTCCCGCTTGGTAACATTTCTTCAATTCAGTTTTTTTTCATATGTCCACATAACGAAAATCATCTCTTTCGTATTCATATTACAGATCTTAAAACTTTCCTTGCATTCCGTTTCGGTTAATTTCATGCATTGGGATTTACATAGTAAAATCCTGATCACTAATGAGTGAGCGGTTCGAAAATAACTAAACGGTTTACAAATTTAATTCTTTCTGCCATAACACCACGAAAGACTGAATTGGAGATTCAGTATGCTTGTTGACTTCGAGATAGCGTAGCTGCTAAATACGCATGTCCAGAGTACAGGAACACCGGGTTTGAATCCTGGTCGACCACATTTTTCAATTCAATTTTATTTTTCATATGCTTACATAAGCAAAAGGGAAAACTAAAAATGCTGGTTTTGGTTTTTCACGAATGGAATTGGTAATTCAGAAAATAAAAAAAAGTTGTATTTTATTTGAAATGTCCTATAACGATGTAACAATAAATGTTTGATAAAATGTTTCGTCTCAACACGGCCACCATCATTCTGTTGTCAGAAGAGGCAGGCCCTCTTTCATTACAAACATTGATAAAGCGATACAATCACTATTCAGTGGTATATCACACTTAATATGTTTATAGCGTTACATTGAAAATAATAGCATCCTCAGTGAAAAAATTTGACAGAAAATCAATTTATTTTATAATGAATTTCTGGGGAAATATAAAACCAATATGAAAAACGAATTGAACATAACAAACTTCAATACATGCTCAAGTTGATGACCGCTTTGTTGAATGGACATGAATCGTTTGTCCATACAATTTCTGTGGCAATCATTTTATATTATGAGTGTAATTCTATCACATGCATCTCTTATTTTTTGTTTGAGATGGTTGATATCTGTACTGGGTGTCGAAAAATATTCATATGTTATGTATCCCTAGAAATAAAAAATTAAAGGAGTAAGGTTTGAGAATCGTACTGGCCAGGCAATCGATCCATTGTTTTCAATCCATTTTGTTGAAATATTGCATCTGAATGTTTTCCTTGTATTGCTATATTATGTGAGGGAACACCGCCTTGTTGTAAATATATTTCGCGGCGGACCAAAAGATGTTCAAAATGGCGACCATTTTTTGCCTCTACACGTTCCAACATATCCTCTGGGATTTCCCTGAAAGCTCTAGTGATTCTTCGTTTCATGTATTCTATTGATGTTGGAGGAATTTGGTAGACAATCCATTTGATATACCCCATAAAAAATCCATTTTGGTCAGGTCAGATGATCTGGGTGCCCACGCCACAGGCCCATAAGCCACAGGCCTATACATTTTTTATTGAAATGATCGTTGAGGTATTTCCGTACCTCAGTTTTAAAATGTGGTGTTGCATCGCCTTATTGTAACCACATTCTAGGTGTTGTTCCATATGGAAACTTGTCCAATTAATTCGAAAACTCATGCCGAAGAAACCTTACATATTTTCTTCCAGTGAGATGCCCATCTAAAAGATATGGACCGATAACTCTTTTTCCGAGAATTCCAATCAAGTGACCAACGCTTTTGATGGTTCAGGCAACGAACAAAATGGGGGTTTTCCGTTTCATAACGGAAATCGGCATGTTATGCCGATTCACACTTCCATTTTTATGAAAAGTCGCTTCATCAGAAAATAAAACGATCTTTTCTAAGCCCCATCGGCAAAATTGAACACGTTTTTCAAAATCTCTTCCTCTCAACCTTGCAACAATTGCATGTGGTAAGGAAAAAAGGAAATTTGCTTGCTCATTTCATTCGAGACACGCTGGTTTGAGAAAATCCTAATTTCCTGCTCAGGTGTCGGGTTGTCTTCTTTCGGGGAACTTCTCTTTATGAATCCTAGATTCAAGGAGGCAGTTTTCGTCACTTTTCTCTAAAGCATAGACCGTTCGCACCATATCTTACAATACATAATTCATAATAGAAATGATTCAATCTACACGCGAAAGAAACTTCAACACATGGCGTTATTGGCAAATTCCGAAAATAATTTTTCGATGTCAGTCAAGGATAACTGGGTTTTCAAAGAAAAAAAGCAGTATAAATATTCTTTAGGTTTTTTGCGCATTTCTCATCGTTGAAACCCCTGATAACTATCACGAGATGGTATAAAAAATGCTAATGTACTGGCGATTAGTTTGAATATTCGAAAAACTTTGAGTAAGTGAACGTAATAAAATACATTTTTTTTTTGTTACAACACTTACCAAACTTGGTATAATTTGTGAAATATCAGTTTTTCGTATAGTATACTCCTGATAAAAAATGTAGTGAATTGTTGAAACATTTCAATAAGATGAAAAAATACAGTGTGTTCCATTTGGAAAAGTTGAATTATGACTGTTTGAAAATGAATAAAATTTGACCGGTTTTATCGAGCACCCTATATACCAAAATATGTTTTTCCGTTAACCAGCTGTCACTGTTGTCTATGAAGCAATAAAGAATGTGTGTAAACTTTCATGGCCGAAGATGTGCCAAAGCTATTTTTTGG